AAAAAAAAAAAAAAAAAAAAAAAAAAAAAAAGATTACAATATTGTTTACACTCTTCTTAGGATTTTTGTCATTTGGAGAAATTTAAAAATGATTTTTCTATTTGAAATTATTTCTTTCCCCTCAAGTTCCTTCTAGATTACATAGCTAAATCTTAACTAGGCATATGGCACATGTCTGTAATCCCAACACTCTGGGAGGCTGAGGCAGGAGCAGCTCAAGGTCAGACGCAGTCTGGGCAACTTAATGAGACCTGTCTCAAAATGGAAAACAAGGACTGGGCATGTAGTTGAGTGCAGGGCCCTAGATTCAGTCCCTCTTTGGGGTCTGGGGGACTGCTGAATTGTGCAGGAGGTTGAGGGCAGGGAAATAACCCTTTGTTAACCCGTTCATCCTGATGCTATTTCTACTATCTTAATACAGTTGCTATTTTCCTTTAGTTATCTTATTGGATTAAAAAGAAATAAACCCTGCTGTGAAATATAAAAAATAAAGTAAAGCCTCACCTTGTTCCCGAGTGGCATATCTGCAGAACGGAGGGGAAGCCTGGGCTATGGAGCAGCAAACGCCCGGGCCCCTTTCCCTGCCCCAGGCTCTGAGTTCTCCAGTGAATCCCCTGAGCTGCTTGGACCTGAGCCGCTCCCTGTAACTGAGAGCGCTGCCTTCAGGGCAAGCAGCTGTCCATAGTCACGTCTGCGCATCTGTGTCTGTGTGATTCTCCATACTTAAGGCTATTTCCTTAAACTAGATTATAAGCAAGAAGCACTCCTCTGCCAAGGGACATGGGTCTTTTTATATTTCCTGATAACTGTTACCAAATTACATCCTCTCTTCTGATTTAATTTAACTTTTTTTTTTTTTTTTTGGTTCTGGGGATCAAACTTGGGTCCTGCACTTGCCAGGCAGGCGCTGGAACCACTGAACTAAATCCCTGCCCCTTAATTTATCTTTTCTTATTCTTTTGAGACAAGGTCTTGCTGTGTGGTTCCGTTGCCTTGAGCTTACTATGTACTCACTCACTGTGGCCCCAGACTTAGAGCCATCCTCCTGTCTCAGCCTTCCAAGTACTTCTGGCTTCAAATTACTTTCCAAATGGTGGTAGCAGATATATGGTGTAACCAGCAAGTATAGAAGTATAAAGCTATAGCATCTCATTGATTTTTAATATTACCCCCTAGAAATTATATTTATTTATTTAGTAAATGTTTGTATTGCCTTCTTTTATTGTTTTGATTGGTATTTCTTAAATTTACTTAATATTTGCAGTCTTACTTGAATTGTCTCTTATGATGTGCTTTCTCATTTGTCTACTGGGATCTCAGTTTTTTGCTTATTAATTTGTGTGGCCTACTAATAAAATAGTAGACATTTGCTGAAAATATTTTTCACCAAAGTTCTTTTAAGTTTTGAGTATGGTAGTTATTTTAATTCACAAGAATTTTATATTTTCATATGGTCAGATTTTAAGATTTTTAAATTTCTTTTAGAGCTATGATGAGCATTTCATTCCTTTTCTTTCTTATTTTTCTAGATTAGTATTTTTCAGGGTGTGGACTTAGGGTCACCCGCCCCGAGAAACCCTGAGTCAGATCCCAGGGAGCCCAGGAATCTTCACGGGAAGCCAGCCCTGCTCAGCACCTCCCTGCTGCTTGGGGTGTGAGAATTTCTCCTGGGGCTCATATTGTTAAGGGCACCCTTTAAACGCAGCCCTCTGTACCCTCCCTGCCCCGGTAGGGACCCAGGAGGCTCAGAACCGTCCGGCTCCGGCTCGTGTGTGGAGACGAAGGCGCTGCTGCGGCCCCTCCA